CTAATTTTTATCTAAACATACAAAATGAGTGTTTTTGAATCAAATTCTGTGTCTTCAATTCTTCTAGTCCAATTCCTCAAAGGAGATTTTTAATAAATTCTCTTTAATAATATTAATATTAAATTAATCTATAAAATTATATACTCCAACAGTATAATTCTTCTTTTCTGAGTCGTTTTCTAAAAAACAAATATATATTTCTAACAAACTGGATATGCTTTAGGACCACAGGAGAATCAGGAGTGTTACGAGGAAAAATACATTACTAATACACACAAGATTTTTCCGACAACTGTTTACGCGCCACGTTATCACGAACATGTCAAACCGCGTCGGTCCGCCCTATTTCGCCGGCGGCGGGGGATAACACTTTAGGAGTACCTTTTTCCTCTCTCCGGTACCCCACTGACACCCGTATATGTATACACATGAATACGCATACGTATAAATACAGAAAACCTTTTTTAAAATAATTTTTTTTAAAAAAATATCTGGATTATTATTATCTCTTTGATTTCTCCTTTTATCTTACCAACTAAAAACCTCATCTTGTTTCTCTCTCTCTCTCTTTTAAAGCAGTGCAATAATGGGGGACATGATCGATGTTCTTCTTGTGGTCGTCTAATTCCTTAACCTCCACTGCTTTTGTCATCTTATCCTGCGCACCAACTTGTCTGAAGTCCAGATTAATCTTTCCCCCTTTTTCTATTTTTTCAGTTGATGAATACAAGCCCTGTTAAGGAGCACAGAAGACTGCGAAGAAGAATAGGGGAAGGTCGAATTTTTTTTTTTAATAAAATTTTTTTCGATTCAACTAATTCGACTTCTGTGGGAGACGAGAATGGAGGTTTTCGTGGGTCCCACGTTCGTGGATGTGCCGCCGGGGTACGTTAGAGAGGCGTCCAAGGATGGGTCTTCGGCGGGTTCCCCTTGTTTGTTTATAAAGGAGGATGCCGATGTTGGTGCTGGTGGCGGCGAGATCCGGAAGGGAATAGGGTCTGGGTTGTTGGACGACACGCCGGAGGTGTCGTCGGAGACTGAGAGTTCGTCGTCTATTGGAGGTCCGGGAGATAGCGATGGGGAGGAGGAGGATGGGGTCGTTTCATCTCAGGGAAGTGGAGGGTTGGCTTCTTTGGACTCTCTCGAGGACTCTCTTCCGATCAAGTCAGTTCCTTTTTTCCATCTCCTTGTTCTTTTCAATTAACGATTCAGTTGTTTTAATTTATCGATAATTAATACTATAATTTTTTGATATTATGGGGTTCGATTATAGGATTTCTCTATCTACCCTGTGACGATTGGTTCCCGAGAAAAAAAAAAAACAGGGGAAAGTTTAGAATCTCTGTTCTGATCTTAATCTTATCAAGAACCAAACCCCAGAATCGAATATCAGATTAACAGTATCAATCTTTCATTTCCCTGTTGATTCTTTGCAATTGGGTAATATTTTGGGGGTCTGGATTTCTGGGTCTAAATCGTGGATGTCTGGATTTTTCCTTTTCCATGAGGAATTATGGAATCATTTTGCTAATCCCTGTTTCTCCATGTTTAGTTTTCTGAAATTGGGTAAATTTTAGCGTCTAAAGTATTGATTTTTTTGGATTCCTCAGGAGGGGGTTGTCAAATCATTACTCAGGGAAATCAAAGTCTTTTGCAAATATAGCAGATGTAAGCTTGAACTTGAATACAGCCAAAGATCTGGAAAAACCAGAGAGTCCATTCAACAAGAGAAGGAGAGTTCTGATTGCAAATAAATGGGCAAGGAAGTCATTCTATTCCTGGCAAAATCCCAAATCCATGCCTGTTCTTGCATCTCTGAATGAAGATGATGAAGATGAAGAAGGTAAAGAGATCCCTTCGTCGTCGTCGTCCTCCTCCTCCTCCTGCTCCTCATCATCCAGAGAAAGAGTGGAAGAAACAGCAAGAACAGAAGTGCAGAAGAGCAAGCTGAAGCATACTTTCACTTTTAAGTCACAGAGCTGCTTTTCTCTTACAGATCTGCAAGAACAAGAACAAGAACAAGATCAAGATCAACAACTGCCGCATTAGGTTAGGTGTTTTTTTTTTTTTTTTTTGTTTTTAATTTTATCCATCCTTTTCTGTTGGTCAAAGAAAAAACGTTTATCAGTAGAATATATAAAGATGGTATTTTTAATTTTATTAAGAAATTCTCTAACTTTTTTTTCTTTTTAATTATCTGATTAAAAAAGGGATGTGGATATATATGGACAAAAAAAAAAAAAGACAAATGGATGTGGATATATGAAGGATGATTGTGTTGGAGTATGATGAAGGTTGGTTGTTGTGTTGAAAGACTAATCGGTCCTTGGTTGTTAGGATGCTAGGAGGCTGTTGAATGGGGGACAGCTTTGACTTTTCAGTTTCCTAAAACAATCGTTTGTCGTACGGACTCACCACATCTCACCTCAGTGATAATCTCTCTGGAAGTGTAAGCATATCCATGGGATGGAAGAGGGCTCGTTCTTTTTATTTTTATTTTTATTTTTATTAACACTAACGATGTGAATTATCTATGTATCATGTATTTTTTTATTATTAATTCATTAGGCCGGTTAAGTTAATTAAATTCAAAATCATCACTATGTAGTTAATTATTTAAATAGTTTAGTAATAATTTTTAATAAAAATAAAAAATTTTAAATTTAAATTATATAATATAAAGATAGAATAGGTTAGATGATGCCAAAGGTCTATTACCTAAATTTTTTTAAAAAAATAGGATAATCAATATGAGTATTAAAAAAATGTAAAAAAATAATTGTCCTTAGTATTTCTCATATTATTTATTTTTTATGGGACCATTACTTATATTATTAGATACAGTACAACCATTAAGCACAATCTATAAAAAAAAATTTTAAAAATCTGAAAAAACTATACCTATACAAAAGTCGAATCTGATCCAGACCTTAAATCATCAAAAACCTCATTGACTTAAATAGTAACTATGTAATTCTACATATACAAAAGTCGAATCTGATCTAGACCATAAATCATCAAAAACTATATTGACTTAAATAGTAATTCTATATTTCTGCTGGTCAAAAAAAAAAAATTCTATATTTCTGTTTCTTAAAATTTTTTAAGTGATTTTGTAAGGGTGGAATTTAGATGCAAGCGTGCCACTTAAAAGCAAGTAAAAAGGATTTTTTCAACAATTCTCTTCTTTAACGTGGTCAATTTTCATTAGGATGATTGGAAAAATATTGGTTTAAAATTGAGTTTTGTGCCAATAAGACGATTTGTAAAAATGAGAGATATCTTTTTATAGAATGAGTTACTAATGTACCTTGGACAATCCCAACACTTTATCAATACCATGAACTCTAAGTTATATATCTTAAATGTTGTAAATGAGATGCAAATTAAAATAGACTTGCAAAAGATGAATGCATCTTGATTAAAACTACTATATTCAAAACCAAACTAATCTATGTTTATAGATAGATTTGCAAACTAACCCACCTCAAATTTGGAAATATAAAACTAACTAACAAAAAAGCATGTATGAATAAAGATTAAATTGATATGAAAAACAAAACAAGATAGAAGTGAGAATGCCATTAACTTAAAATAAACAATAATAAGAAAAGTAATAGTACCTTGTAGAACTTAGAATACTTGCTATTCATTACATCTAATGCAATTGTAGAAGCGAAAACTAGACAAACTAAAATCTACAAAGCACTATACTAAAGATGAAAATTGAAAGTTGAAGTTAAAATCTAGAAATGTTGAAACTTGTTCTGGATTGTGTGAAAGGCTGACCATTGTGTTCTTGAATAATTTGAAGCTTTCTTTTTATATGCTTTATATATATTGTCTCCCTGCTTCACTTGCTAGCTGTTACAGAACATGGATAACTCTTTAACTACATTTCCTCTTAAACTCTAGGGATTTCTCTTTCTATTTAAATTCAAACTGCAACAAACTAGATAATATTTACCATTCCCCAAAACCAATTTTTATAGACTTGAATCCCTACAATAAATCTAATATAACCTTAGTTTATCCATTAACACGTGGCATAACTGAAAACGTAATTTATGATGTAAACAATTTTATACACATGGCTTAAATTTTTTAAAACAAAACGAAGACTCAAATATGGTGATGAGACATACCAAGAAAAAAAAATAAAAAATTTCATTAATTTTAGGTGAAATAACCTTAACATTCATAAAAAATTATTTAAGTTTTCAAGGAAGCAGTTTCACAGGATGCTCAAGCTAACAAAAATTTTATAATTATAATACCATATTGTATTATTTGATACGCGTACAACATAATGTATTATTATATAATTAATTCTTTTCATTAAGAGATTCACTTATAATATTATATATATTTACTCATTTAATGTTATATTATATTTTATTAAATGTTACATAATTTTATATAATATTATAATTATAACATTATTGCTCTGGCCAAATAGCTCTTTGAAGGGTTAGACAACATTGAGGGATAAAGATGATACGGTAATGTTACCAAAAAAAAAAGAAAAGATACGGTAAGTAGAAGTTCGATCCAGCCCAGAAAAGAGAGGTTTCTAAAACTATGGACTGCATACAAAGTTATTATAAAGTAGAAACTGTAATACCAGCCCAAAAGAGAAAAGTCCAATAAATCCATGGCCCAGCTTTGGATTAAGGGCAAAAATGTAAGCAAATCATGGCCACGCTTGTCGCGCCGTCTTGCGTCTCCTCCACTCTCCGCCCCTGCTTCAGAGCTTCACCGGGGAGCATCAACGTTAGGGTTAATTACTTTGCTCCGATCCGAGTTACGATTCGGACTCTTCTGACTCGAGCCGATTCGAATTCGATGAGCCAGCCTAGCTCCGAGCCCACCGCCAGTGAATCTGGTTCCGTGCCTTCGGTAACCAACGCTTCAACGCCGGAGAACAACAGTAACGACGATGTTCTGGTTCAGTACGTTGTGCTGCGTAGAGACCTAATAGACACGTGGCCGCTCGGTAGCGTGGTGACGCAGGGCTGCCATGCCGCCGTCGCTGCCATTTGGTCGTACAAGGACGATCCTCACACTCTCCAGTATTGCAGCCAGGAAAACATTGACTCTATGCATAAGGTTGGGACTTTCTCTCTGATCTTTATAGCTTTGTTTCTTGAATTCGATTTACTCTGGATTGTTTTATTAAGAAATCTAATCCATTTCATACTATATCATTAGAATATTAATTTTGAAATGTTTTAGGATGAGATTTTGAATTTAATATGTTTTTTTTTATGGTCTTGTTTTCTAATATCATTCTATCCGGATATATTCTTTCCTCAATTTAAACATTATGCCTTTGAAATGATTTTCCAAATGTGGCATTGTAACTAATATCATTTTCGATTTTCCAATGTTATTACCTTGTATTGGTATAGGCTATACTATACATTTGATAGCTCCCTTTTCCCAAATCCTTTCTATCCGCTTAAGTATGAGTTAAGGACTTAAGGTTAAGGTCTCTAATTTAGAGTCTCGAGCTTTTATTACAGTTTAATAACCTTGTTGCATTGAAAAATGTAGCCTCTGCAACTGGAATAATGTTTTGATGATACACTCTATTGAAGAGAATCTAGCAATGTGTACGGGTTAATGGTTGTTATTTTGTGTATGTGCTAAAATGGAGTTTGTTTCTGGTTATGTAGGTTACCCTTGAGGTGAAGGGAGAAACCCAGCTTGTGAATTTATCAGAGAAGCTCAAAGCTGGTGACATTCCTTATAAACTATGGATCGAACAACCTGAAAACATACCAACTTGTCTTGCAACAAAACCATCTCGCAAGTCAATTGTGTCGCCATTTTTCAAAAAGCTGAAGCTTTGTAAGTGATGGTCTGATGATAATATCTTCTGTAACTGCCTGGATGATTATTTCCTCTTTTCCATTCCTTCCTCATTGGCGTGCAATGGAAGCAAAACTGAGACACTGTTGTTTTGCGGCGTGGTGTAGGGAGTTGCGCTGTGCCTTTTTTGTGTTGTTCTCCTCTGGGTTCCTAGGTTGATGGGTTGGGCCCATTAAAGTTCTTGAAATTTTTATTGGCATTCATTTATGTTGGGCTCTTTAATTCGAAATCGACCCCAATCCAATTTGTCTTTCAAACTTTTGGCATCGATTTCTTTAAAACAAAAAAATAAGAATTTTTTTTAAAATATCTCGACTTTTGAGCAATTTTATGGTAAATTTTTGATATTTTTATGTCTTGATCAAGGAATAAATATCACTTACGAGATTATTATAAACTAAAAATAGTTAATTTCTTGATTAATTAATATTACATCATCATGTATGGTAATGTTAAAGCACGTTCAAGTTAAGCTGCAGCCACAACAATGTAACATAACCAAAAGAGCAATGATAGAAGGGACAAATTTCATTCCCATAAAATTTGAGACTAATAACAGAAGTTATTTAAAAAAAAAAATAGAATTTATATTATTTAATAATTAATTTTTTTATTTTATTGAAATCTATAATATTATATACATTAATTTATTTAATAATATAACTTATATTACGTCATTAATTTTAAATTTTGATTTGAATTTTTTTGTGCTTAGTATCACTACTCTAATAAAAGGAACAGAGCAGCAAAAGGATGAGAAGATGAGTGATAAACTTAAGGTGAATTGATTAAATCTAAGACTTATTTAGTTATTGTTTATACCTAATTTTGCAACAAATAGAATGATGTACCGTGTCATCCCTATTGGCAGATATTTTGTTTGTTGAAAATTTGTTTTGTTGATGTAAATTTCTCCAAAATAAAGTTCAGTGCTTGTTTCCACATCATCAACAAAGCCATTTGTTTGTTATAAATTTCTAGAAGTATAATTGATAACACCGATAGGTTAATAAATTTATTGTAGATTTCATATTATCACATATCTCTAGCATGCTATAAAGGGGTATTTACTACTATAAATACACAAAGGCGAAATCAAATAAGATAGACTTACTTCTCACACAACAAGTTCAGCACTATTTCTTTTAATGTTCAAGTTCATCTTAATTTTAAGTTCTTTAGTTTAGTTTTAACTTTACATTTCTGCCTACGTTAGTCTTCAACCTTAATTTAATGTCTTTTCCTTTAAAAATTCTAAAAATTAACTTAGTTCTCTGAGTAAGCAATTCAATTCTCCTTCTGTTGATTTTGTAATGATAAAATTCATTACCTTCAGTGATATTTCTTTGTAATCAGATTGCTTCCTTTCCTCTCTTGTTTTTCTAGATTCTTTTAATTTAATCAAGTGATGTTGATATTCAATTTCATTATTTGTTTTATTTCTATTAATTTATATTTTATGTTGTAGGTAAACTGTCCATGTTTCCAACTTCATTTACTTTAGTTTAATTTGTTTTTTTATATTTAAATTTCCTTTTGAAAGCTTAATCTTAACTCCATCTACATGTTTAAAATTCATTTAGATTTTTAGTAACTCGATGATCATTTATTATATTTTTTTTGCAGTCTTAGCTTTTCTCGATTACATTTGTTTAGAAGAGTTCTTAGAGACATATTCAAGGCATTTTACTATTTAACTCATTTAATTTAAGAAGTTTATCCATAATTTTTTGTTTAATTATCTTATCATTAAGGCACAACTTATGATAATTTTTTTATCAACTTACAACTAAATTCTACAGTTGAAAAAAAGAGTCATTAAAAAAAAAAAAGAGGGTCTTCAGAAAAACATCTTTTTTATTTTGAATAAAGCAAAAAAACATCTTTCTTATTTTGTATAAAGCAAATTACAAGTTATTTTATCTATCACACGTCGAGTAGATTTTTTGGAATAACAGCTATTTTTTTATTCCATGTTAAAATTTCATTGGTTCATTCTACATTGTTAGACATAAATTTTCTTTCTTGAATGACCAAAATATATATATATATATATATATATTATTGAATCGTATAGGGGAAAGATAAAAGCTTTTAATTCGATGGTATTTAAAGAATTTTCTGTTGTGACATCAACGAAAAAGCAGCAACTTAAACCATTCTTCAATGACCTTTACTCTTCAAATATGCAGCTTCAAACACAAAAACGTTGTATTGATACCAACTAGTACACCTAAATACATAGGATTTAACAAAAATGTACGTCTCTCAATTCAAGAGCTAAGTACGGTTTTAAAGGAACAGAAAAGACTTGATAAAACTTGAATGTTAATGTAGCAAGATTGAAGTTCTGTGCATCGTCAACTGCCACCCTTCTGCTTCACGGTGATCTTATCCCCAAGACTAAGAGCAATCCCTTGTGTCTTGCTCCTTATCCTTATGTACCCACTAAGCTTGTCATCTGCCTGCTTCTCAACACTCACATTCACCAAGGCATCCTCCCCAAACACACTCTTGGCATACAAGTTCGCTGCTAGGAATCCACACTCACCATCTAGTGCAGACCTGAAGTCAAAATGAAGAACAGGTCAGACACCAATATGCACATCTACAAATAACTCAAATGAAAGAACTTTAGTGTGTTCAATATCGACCTTGGTTGCAATGGGACCAAAGATACCACTGTAGCAATGATATCTAAAATCCAGGCTACCAATTTGTTAAGTTACACAAAATGCTAGTGGGAAGACAGTAAGAGAACTTACGGTGCTGTGAGGCACTTCATGTTGGTTGAATTGATAATATGCTCAAGGAATTCCCTTTCATCTTGAATTATAGTGTTAACAGCAACCTGCATCAGCAAAAGATTAAAACAAAAGGAATTAAAATTCAAATAGTTAATAAACAATATTCTCAAAATCTATATTACTTTATAGATCCAGTGGTTAATGCATCAAAGCAAGGCAAGCAGGCTAGAGAGGAGACTTAGTGTTCAATAAACTGTTCAACAACTTTTAAACAGGTCATCAACAAAGCACGAAGCAAAGAAATGTAATAACCATAAAAAGGTTGAAGGCCTTTTTTGGTAGGGAGGATGGAAAGATGGAAGAGTTGTTGATGCAACGGCCAATCTTTGTTTTCTAGTCCCTATTGTGGGAGTATAGCACTGGATCAACAAAATTTCTGTCATGCCTAATGCTCAATGTCAAAGAGATACCTTGTTTTCCCATTCAAACTCTGCCCACATAGTTCTAAAAGCAGCATCTGAGCAGACTGCAGGAGAGATGTAGTCCATGATGTCTATGTGGATGTCATTAAGGACAACTACCATTCGTTCCAGCACATTTGAAGTCTCATAAACAATGTTGCCAAAAATGACTCCAGTCTCAGTTGAAGAAACTTTTATATTGGCCTTGATTTGCTTGCTAGATTCAGGAGCCAAGGTATAATTCTGTGGCCTCTCAACAAGTTTCAGATCACCCATGGTTGCCAATTCTAAGCATAAATTTTGGAGTGTTTCCTTGGTACGGTTGATAACAGTAACATCAAGGACAATATCGTAGTGATGAACTGTCACGTATGCTTCAGCATATACTGGGTCACTAAATCCAGTGAGTTGAAGAATACGGTTAAGCTTGTTTGCATCATCCGCATCCTTGATGAACTCTCCAGTTGCACGTTTTAAATCATCCTGAACCTCATCTTCCAATTCAAGCTGACTCATTCCCTGGGAATAAGGTAATTTAGATGTAGATGTAGCCTTGAATCAAGAACCAAAAACTTTAAACATGATTTTTTTTAAAAAAAATTCTAAGTAGATTCAGTACAGATCAATCGTTTGCTAGCTTTAATCAAGGTATAAGACAAATTGCCATAAAAATGATGCATAAGAAACAATGGCAAAAACAGATAGCAGTCTAACCTTCCTGCTCTTCAAATGATAGAAATCAATAAGGTCATCTGGTTGAGCATTGGAAACCTGAGCCTTTGCTTTTAATTCTTTGGTTTCTTGTAACTGTTTTTCTGAAAGCATCATCACGAAACTCTGACGGCAAGACTGCAGCCATATCTTCCTGACTGCATCACCAGTATTGCACAATAGTCTTATGCAAAGAACTATCCTATCATAGGAGTCATTATCAATTGGATGTGGAAGAACTGAAGATTGTCCTAATTGCAGCATAGAGACCATAATCAATAATGCCTGTGTTGTTGTTTTGTTTACTTCAACTTTTGATGGTTGCACTTCCTCCAATCTCAGAATAAGTTTGGTCAATGTGCAAGCAACAACCGCACCAAGGAAAAAGTCACCAGTTAGAAGAAGGGATCTCAGATTTCCAGAAGCCAAGGATCCCTGGACAACAGTAGGAGGGGAGAAAGTAGTTTCAGAGGCAGCACTCTGGGTTGCATAAGTGCCATCAGCAAGGATGGCTGGTCTCCTGGAGGAGACAGTAACGGAGGTAGTTTGCTGAGCTTTCTTTGAGGGATCAGTAGATTCTGCTTCTTCTGAAACTGAATAGAATGGTAACTCTCCAAGACATTGCTTGATGGTTGCTATACCACTCTCAACTTCAGAAAGAGAGAGGCAGTACTCCCCAATGATCCAAAGAGCACAGGAGCAAACTCTTGCAGCTCGGATTTGGTAGAATGTATCCAGAAGCCTTGTTATTATAGAAACCCTTAGTTTGGGGTTGGTTTCAATGATCTCTCGAACAAAAATAACCACATCAATAGCTGATGCTACATTTCCATCTCCCAAGAAATCCATCAACAGATGCACCACTGTGCTTGCCACTTCCGGGAACTTAATTGCACAAGAATGTATAGCTTGAATAAGCATTTGCCTATATTCCCCATTCTTCTCAAGCTCTCCACTTTGAGTCTTAACAACTTCTTTCTTCAACATAAGTACAACTTCATTGATATTCCGAGGAGTTATCAACTCGAGAACAATATCAAGTGTCTTCCTGCGAATGTCAAGATTTGGACTGGAGAGTGCCCTAAGCACGTCCATGATCACATCAACCATGATGTCTCTATGAGAAGACTTAAGCTCCTTCAGCCTATCAAGCACTATGAGCTTCACATTGTTATCACTCTGAGACAGAAGAAGCTGACAATACGTGCTGGCAACTTTTTTAATGGCAGTAGGTGCAGATGACAGAGAAACAAGAGTCCCAGCACATTCATAAATTACGGCAGATGAAGGGGCAGTCATTAAAGATATAATTATATTAATATACTTCCCCTTCTCCCTCTGATTCGATCTGCAAACTTTTCGAATCAACTCCAACACAACCATCTGAAGCAATTCACCCCATTCAGAAACCCTATCAACATGGGTCAAAAGGTAGTTAACTGCTCGATCCTGGGCACAAGTAAATAGCATGAGAAATGCATTCCTCTTTGCAGATGGATCCTGTTCTGATGTGAGGACCTTCTCAATCATATCAGGAGCATCAACCAAAAGCTGCTCTCCCTGTGGCAGCTTATATATCGACATAACAGCTAATATAGCATTCCTCCGAATGTATGGATGTCGATGCTCCAGATTTTGCAAAATTGAAGGGATTAGTGGCTCAAGAATTTCAGTTTCATTTATGCGGCACAGAAACCTCAATGTTACTCCACGAATATATTCATTTGGATGTTGTAGATTATTCCTTAAATTTTGGCATATCAAAATCATTTCAGGCAACACCCGACCCTTGGCATCTGTTTTCTCAATTATCTCCAAATACAGAAGCAGGAGCTTCTGGATTGTGTGATCCTCTGAAGGCAAGACATATCTGACGATGGTGATAAAAAGCTGAGGGAGTGTTTCATTATTCAACAAAAGCATAATTGCTTTCTTCATTGCATCAATCTTAGCAGCCACATCATTGCCTTCAAGAGCTTCCCTAATGTCATTTGCAATGGCAGGTGTGCCTCTGTCAAAGTGAATAAGAAGACTACAAGATTTCTCCATTTCTTTCTTGTACTCTGGTAAAACAAGGATGCATAATAACTCAAATCAGTAACCAAAGTGTAGAAAAGAAATCATTTTATTCAACATGATGATCTCTCTACCTGGAAAAGGATTCTAAAAAAAAGGAAAAAGGAATTAAACATTGGATAGAATGCGGAAATGAGGCAAAAGTTCAACACAATTTCAAATGAAAGCTCTCCTATGCTTTTACATGTTACTTACAACTACAAGTCAGTGTGAATTTAGTTAGCAACTGTTTAGATAAATAACTAAAGATCAAAATCTATATACTTTAGATTTCAATAATACTTTAAAGATCACTTCAGATCTGCTAAGGAACTGCAAAAGCATACGAAAAAAATCCATGTTGCTCATGGTGCATACTAATACTAGGTGATCTACTCGCTCTCCGTTCCAAGACTAACACTCATTTCACTAATTTAAACAAAACAATAAGAATCTAGCTGTTAATGCGCACGGAAAACAGATACATAAAAGATAAGATCCAAATTCTCAAATTCACCATGCAATTCCCCTTTTTTAACTATCTAACCGATAGCCAAAGTTCAAAAATCGAAATCCTTCGTGCTCAAATTCAGTAAAAGCACACAGGATGAGATCCGAATCTTCGAATTCGATACTCGCAATCGCTTCGATGAAACGATATAATCAACAAGCAAAATTCAAAAACTAAATCGAAATCGTTCAGGTTCGAAAATAGTAAATGCGAAGTACAAAGTCCCAACATTCATAGTGAAAATGAATAGCGGATCGGAGAAGACGAACCTTAAGGTTATAAGATCGTCGGAAACCAAAGCGAAGCTCGGAGTTAACAATCGAAAAGCATGATTCTGTATTGAAACGACGGAGAAGAGGGCCTCCGTATGGGAAAACGATAATAAGTAAGCCAATTAATATCTCCTCCGTGGTGTCTTTTTTTTTTTCAATGGATGTATGCTGATATGCCATGATACTTTTTCAGAATGGGAAAATAAGTTCATTAATTTTTTTTAGTGACAAGCCAGCCCCTCGAGTTAATTGTTTTGTCCCGAAAGACAGTACTGAGGTATTGAACTAAATATGTGAAGTGTGAACACGCTTCATTTGTTTATCTGTGCTGTAATTATAATTTTTTTTTATTTTATACTTTAAATTTGTATTTTAAATAAAGTAATACATGAAAACCAATGTTTGTAAAAAGTAGGGACAAATGAAAGTTTGAAGGGACAGATATGGCTAAAAGGCTTCACATAACAGTAGATTTGATTTGACTATTTTTGACGTTCTTGTAA